TCATTGCCCAAAAAAATAATTATATTATCGATTACTAATGCTTTTGTATTTAAAAAATTGCCCAAAAAAATAATTATATTATCGTTTACTAATGCTTTTGTATTTCAAAAAATAAATAAATTTACAAAGCCAATATATAACAAAGATGTTATTTGCACAATAGTCATGAAACTAATTTTAGAATTTTCAAAAAACCGAAAATCGATCCAATCCAAACCGAAAAAAATTGAATTGGATCGGAACGGATTTGAAAAAAAATTCAAATCGAATGAATGATTACACGATCAAACTGAAGAAATTGGATCGGATAGTTTTTGCTTCCAAAACCGATCCAATCCAGACCGCGAACACCCCTACCTCAGACACAGACATTTGAGAGAAAAAAAGAAGACATAAACTAATTTTATTTCTCAGGCATAGCAATGATAATGATTTATGCCATAACTATAGGAATCATTTCTTTTATATATATATATTGGTTATTCATTATAAATCATTATTCCTTGTATTTTTGTAAATGTCTATGAGCATTTCATATAAATCATATTTGATCACAATACCATTCCTTTATTTTTGTTATAAATTTTTTTTTAGCGCTAATATTAATTTGCGTTATCATATCATTTACCTTTATTTTGATAGGAACAGTGACCAAAGTGCCACTGTTCCCCATTTTATTTCCCTAAACGCCACGCCAACAGTGTTATTTTCCAATATGCCACGGGAGCAAGTTCGCTGGGCAGTGTAGCGAACTCGGTGTGCTGATGTGTCACGTTTCTGATGGACACCAAGGTCGCTGGTGCCAGTAGCGAACTCTGAAGCAATTAATGCTGACACAAAGAACAAGTTCGCTGCCACATACAGTGAACTAGATGTGACAAGTGTCTCATATGCACATAGTTCGCTGAAGGACATAGCGAACTATCGACTTCCAAAATTTTGAAATCTGATCAATTTACTTGTTCCTTTTTGTTGCGCGGCTTTCGAGGAAAACATGCATATTTCTCATTGAATCATGCTATTGTTTGATTATGTGTGCAACTTTCGTTGCAAGTAGGAAAATAGGCTATATAGCAGGCAAAGCGAAGACGCAACGTCAAAGGCTATGGCAGCAATGCCGCAATAGTTACAGTGGTTACAGCAGAACATACGTGTAACAACCACTTTGTTGAATCATTTTATATTATACATTGATATTATTTGGGTGCTGATTTTTACATGCATGAATTTATTATGCTATTTTTTGGTTTATTTTTGGTTTGGATTTTGTTTTTATTTAATAATACAAGAAAAATATATGCAGCCTGTGTTTCGATTTTGTATATTTTTGAAAGAATATTATTGTTGGTCAATAAATATATTGGCCGGATAATATTTTAAAATTGACGAGTACATTCAGTAATAATATTCATACTGCATTATTATTTAAGTTGATATTTTATTTATTTGTTTGTTTTGAATATGATGTCATGCAAAATTCTTCTGGTCACTGTCCCAAAAATTCATCTTGTGCGCAAAAGCCGAAAACAACGTAACCAGTATATGCAACAAATCGATAATGGCGTGAATTGAGTTGAACTAATAAATAATTTTATTAGTAATGATCAGATTTCAAGCACACAAACGAAAGTTGCACACATATCAAAGAATAGCATGATTCAATGTGAAATATAAATGTTTTTCTCGAAATCCGTGCAATAAAATAAAAATTCTGAAAGGCACATAGTTCGGCATCTATTTCACATCTAGTTGGCTGCCATATGCAGCGAACTTGTGCTTTGTGTCAGCATTAATTGCTCTAGAGTTCGCTACTGACACTAGCGACCTTGGTGTCCATCAGAAACGTGACACATCAGTACACCGAGTTCGCTACACTGCTCAGCGAACTTGCTCCTGTGGCATATTGGAAAATAACACTGTTAGCATGGCGTTTAGGAAAATAAAATGGGAAACAGTAGACTTTGGTCACTGTTCCTATTTTGATATGTTCTGCATGACGTTTAATGTCAATTGTACTGGCACATTAAATTGTTAAGATACTCAAGTATATAATATCAACTCAAATATATAAAACATATCAAATATATTTTTTTTAAAAGGATTCTGGTCAAGTTTATTGAAATAATCAGTCAATATAAATAATTTTATTTGCCCAATAGGCAATAGGACTGCCAATATAACTTTTTTGTAGCCCTTTAGAAGTGGATATCTGAGTCATCGTGATATATGCTTAAGAGCAGTACACGGATCTGCTTATATTCACAACGATTATATTCGATTCTTATTTAGAAAAGCATATTGTTTCTTCTACCCATAAAAAGTATATTCTTTCTTTTTAAAAGTGCTTTCAAAGGGTCTGTTGCAAAATTAGTTTTGATTACTTCTATTTTCTCGAGAGGAACAAAAATTACTTAAGAAAGCTATAAATAATATAAGAATTAATTAGTGATGAGGAGTGAACTATTAGGATATGCATGACAACCATCTCGGAATTTTTTTTTTTAATTTATGTTACCAGGAACAGAAATGGATAGAAAACTCATTTGGTAAAACTGATTTATTTTTTTTGTTCCCGAGATGAACCGATTTAATTTTTATGCTGGAAAACAGAAAAAAGAATCACAAAATTTTTGTTTTTTTATTCCCGGGCACAAAATGAGAAACACTTATTTTTCTCAATCACTCTCTACTATCATCACCATCACCACCATCATCATCCCAACACGACCACCGCCACCATCGTCGTCTCCGCTGTTGTACCACCAATGTCGTCGTCGTCACAACCACCACCACCACCACCACCACGATGTCATCGCCACCACCTCCACATGCCATCGTCATCACCACTATTACCACCGCTACCACCACCATCGCAGCTACTGCTGTCCCCACCACCACCACCTTCACCATGCCACCGTCATCACCACCATTACCACCGTCACCACCACCATAGCAGCTACTGTTGTCACCACCACCACCATGCCGCCACCACGACGACCACCATCGCAGCTACTGCTGTCACCACCACCACTACCACGCCACCACCGTCATCATCGCAGCCACTGCCATCACCACCGCCACCACTATCACCACCACCATTACCACCATCATTGTCGCAGCCACTGCCATCACCACCACTACCACCACTGCCGCCACCATTATCACCACCACGTTGCCGCCATGCCATCACCATTACCATCGCCACTGCCACCATGCCACTACTACCACGCCACCAACCACCACCACCGCCGCTACCACCGTCACCATTACCACTACCATCGCCGCAGCCACTGCCGTCAGTACCACCACCGCCATCGCCACCATTACCACCACCACACTGCCACCGCCGCCACCTCCATATGGAAAAGAAAGTGAAGATCCGAAAAAAAATTATGCTTAATAGGAATTATTTTTTATTATATTATTTGTTGTGTTATTAAAGCAATTCTCATTCTCAGAATAAAAATAGAGCATGTTATCAAACACATTTTTTTTTCTCAAAAACTGTTCCAAGGAACAGAAATAGAAAAGAATTGTTGCCAGGAACAAAATGGTTGTCATGCACACCTTTAGAGTGTTGGAATATGATCTTTTTTCCTTACATGTGGTGTAGTATCTCAATGTAATAGATATTTATGAGACAAGAGGTATTGACCTAAACTCAATAGAGAGTCACTATGAATAGTGTCTCAAGCAAAGACTGAGAATCAAGGAGCCATGTTATAGCCTTATAGGCACATAGTGGCTTCAATTGTGGTGAGGATTCAACGGCATAATAACTCTCGAAACGGTGTGTAGAAGGTGACTCTTCAATGACTAAAAAGAGATATAAATATGTTGGAAGATTCTCTCATGATGAACCATAATTGTTTGGTCATTGTGGGCCCCATTATATGTGAGATAAACATATTCACCTCATGCGTGAGAGTCTCATTTTAGGAATTGATCTGGACCTATCCCATGCGGGATATAAGGCCAAATTCATGAATGTCCCAAAAGACCCAACGGTTAGGGCTTAAAGGCTAAGGAAATGCGTCCATCCCACGTCAATGTCATCTTGCAGACACATAGCAAGACGACATCAACAACTTTGGACTCTACAACCACATGACGTAGTAGCTCATGGCTTTACAACCACCTTAATAGTCAATGGTTGAGGGGTAGACATTTGGTTCTAGCTACACCTATAAGGCTTAGCCCACAAATAGACATCTCGCACACGAGATAACTTGCAAAAGCCACTTCTACCCACCAATGAGGACCAATGCAACCATATTAAGGCGACATAAGTAGAACAACCAACCACTATATAACGAAGGCTTAAAATCCAAATATGATCATCTAATTCATCTTGACTCAAGCTCATAGCTCACATACTAACTTAAGTATAAGAGTACTTTGCAAGTTCCCTCATATTTGTCTATGCCAATCAAGACAACTAGCATCAGATTCTCCATCCTGCAAAGGATCCCACAAAAATATTTCGGAGACATCATCCAACAACACCCACTCCAAAATAGACACAAATAACTTTTTGACCAGGTTCAATCGTGTGTGGTATAGCCAACTCCTTGTTCGACATATGAAGAATATAAGAATGTAATCCTTTATATATGGCCCAATAAATTGAACTAGTATGGCCGATGCAGAAGAAGACGTTTATATAATTTGTAAAGGGTTTTATAAGAGTTATGTTGTAGGAAAAATGATTGTGTTATGTTATAGAGATTCGTTTTGCGTGCCGAAGTTTTTTTTTTTTTTTTTTTGCTGCGGGCCCCACAAAATATTATATGTGTAGGAAAAATTTTGTGATCATGTTAAATGATAGATGATAAACTCATTTGTAAAATGTCATAGATTCAAACATTTATGTTCTCATTGTAATTTTTTTATTTAAAAAAAGAAAAAGAAAACAAACACTACTCAGGAACCAAGGAAAATCCATTCTGATTTTGAGCTAGGTAATTAATTACATGTAAACAAAAGATAAAAATAAAAGGCCTGGTAAACTCTACTTAATTAAACATTATTGTGATTGCTTATGTTTCTTTATACAATATTACTATTAATTAATTTCAGAATACTGCATCACTGGCTCCTTGTGACATATAAGTCTCTCTATGTTGTTGCTCCAAGAAAACTCCATAACACAAATGAAAATCATCAATGTCATTTCCATCTTCATATTCCATTGCTACATGCTCCATCTCATCTCCACAAGGGATCCATGGATTCATCTCATCAAAGGGTAAGGAAGAGACCAACGCAATATCAACCCAATGATCAGGGCCACTGAGTGATGATGTGGAGCAACCTTGATCATCCACGTGTCCCATCTCATACATTTGACCCAATACAGGGACACTTATCTCTGCCTCTAATGACTGAATCATACTCACAAGTCTATCATCGCCATAGTACTCATCTTCTTGTGTTTCTTCCATAAGAGACATGAGAAGCACATTGTTGGCCTCAGAGAACTCAATTCCTAATTCAAATACACTCTCTGGCACTAAGGAAGACATTCTTAGTAACTTTTTACTATGAAGAAAAAGTGACCCTTTTTTTTTTTTGGGTTCACTTATTTGGCTAAAGTGAGAGAAGAAGAAGCAATTAAAGCAGTGGAAGACACAGAATGACTTTGAAAGGTGAAGAAGGGACCTTTATATAGGCAATTACATGGTGCACTATATAATACTAGGAGGGGTTGCTATAGCTTGTTGCTACTGTAAACCACTATATAATAAATTATGTACATAAAGATAAGATTCATATAATTATGCTAAGATAAGATTCATATAATTGAACTGGGAAAAATTATTAAAGCTTTGACCCATTGATGTCTATTTGTCGACCCATTCATATAATTATTAATGGTTGCAACAGTGAGCATCAGAAATCAAACAATATGCCCACCTAAGGACCAATAATTAAGTAACAAAAAATAATTATGTTTGAATGAATTTGTAGGAGCCACCCATAATTAATAATGTGTAGGAGTGTCGGATATGTTTGGAAACCACATTGTGACAACACTAGAAAAGAAATGTGATATGATATGATTATAAAAGAGACATCTATTATTTATTTATTTTTGGAAGATAAAGAGACATCTATTATAATCCAATTGGAGGAATGAGAAAAATGGGAAATGGAATATCTAATTGCCCACTTAACAATTACTTTCGATCATAAAGATCGAGATAAGATATCATGAGACTGAAGCAATTTTTTTTTTTAAATTTTTTTTTACATAATGCAGTTTATGAAGATAATATCAATCTAATACTATAAGTCTTATACCCGATCCATGCAAGTTTCTCATACGGGTCATGTGTCACTTCATATTTATATGGGGGAAAAAAAATAAACACGGTCTAATTTAAAAAAAAAATAATTTTCTAACATTTTCCGTTTCCGACATGTAGTAGTCGCGACTCGCGTATACGAGAGACGAGCTGGACTAATAATATGGATAAATTTACAAAAATAAAAATAAAAATAAATAATATGGATAAGGTATGAGATTCACTCCATTAGATTAATATTATTATTGTATTTAAAAATATATTGTTTTAGATTTTTTTTTTAAATTACATCAAAGAGATCAGTTACCCTTAATACCTATGAAGCACCGACACTTCAAAAACTCTGACGTGTCGTGTTCGACACTTCCCGACACTCTCTGACACTCCAACACGCGTTATAGAAATTCAAAAAAATATTCAAAGATTGCATTGCATTGAGTTTTTAGTTCCAATTATTAGATTCGTTCGATTACAATTACCATTTTATTGAGTTTAATATAAATATTTGAGATATCTTATGTTTCTTTGCAAAATTGATAAATATTATAAGTTTAGTTTTATTTTTTTGTTAAATTATTGAATATTAAATATAATATATACAACATAAACTAAAAATATTATTTAATATCAAAACGTGTTCTAACGTGTCAAAATCTAACATTTTTTAGAATTAACGTGTCGGAGTGTCGTGTCGTATCGTGTCACGTGTTCTGTGTCGATATCGGTGCTACATAGCTTAAGACTTCATTCGTAGAAAATATTAATTTTAAGAGTTGTTCAATCTTCTATATTTTAAGTTAAGTAACTTGATGTTTTGAATTAATTTTAAGGGATAGATTATTCTACCTACTATTTTTTCTGCCTACCTTTGTCTACCACCTTCTAACACCGTTAGATCAGAATCTCAACAAATCTGTATCTTTCTGTCTCCTATTGAGATTCTGATCTAATGATGTTGGAATATGATAAGCAAAGGTAGACAGAAAAAATAGTAGGTAGAATAACATTCCCCTAATTTTTAATTATAATATGTATATTGTATGGAGTTAAAGCTTATACCCATATCTCTCTTTAATGATAATTTTACGAGCTTAATTATTAATTTTTTTATATACAATAATGACATACCGAGATTTGATCTTATAATCTCAAGCAAATTATTCAATTCCATTTCTAATAGATCACTCCTAATGGAAATCATTATGATCTCAAATACTATATTTCGCAATGTAGATTGAAAATTATTATGAACATCACATTGATAATTATTATGGGTATTATGGTTGGAAATCTTGCAATGTAGTATCACGTCAAGTGGTTTAGAATCATGCTAGCAAAATAATTGGTGCGGTGTTCAAGTCTCTTTCAAAATCTTCATTGAAGATGAGTCACATGTACATAACCGCCGGCAGGCACACGAGGATGGGTTCTGCCAGTGTTTTAAAACTCGGACCGGTCATCGAACCGGCCGAGGTACTGGGTCACTGGTTCAACCGGGTTGACTGTTCACATATTAAAAATATAAAAATATTACTTATATTAATAAAAATTCATATAAGAAAACTATCAATGAGCTTCAAGAAATAAATTGGTTTTCAATGATAGCAAATATTATATACTTCTAAGCTTCTAGCTCTAGACCGTATCCTAATATTGGATTAAACCATGCAATATAAGTTAAATGCACTTTTTGTGCTTGACATGATACGGATAAATTAAATCATGATAACAAGTAGTATGCATAAAATATACACTATAAGAAAAAAAGTGTCCACCGTTGAGATGAGATCATGAGACCATCAGTGTTTATCACCACTTAACTTCATGAGATCATTATAAGATGCAACTAAATTACATAAACGAACTACACTAATCTAAAATACCTTATTATTTTCACCTTACTTTTAATCATATTCATCATAAAATATGAATATGATTTAATTCAAGAGTTCTTATCAACATAAAAAAAATTTACCAAAAAAAAAAAAAAAAAAAGGAAAAACCGGTTTAACCCGAGTCAACCGGGTCACCGGGTCGCCGGGTTTCGGCCGGGTTAACCAGTCCAATCCGGGCTGACTGCATAACCGATCCAACTACCCGCTCGGACCGGGGAACCCACCGGGTCGACCCGGCCGGTCCGAGCCGGGTTTTAAAACACTGGGTTCTGCCTTCCAGATTCTGGTTTGAAACCAAAACATACAAGATTAGTCCCATCTATTATATATAGAGATGGTGTAGGTTATTCTTACACCAATATAAGAATAAGAAATCTTATACTTAATCTTGACCATTTATTTTCTTATATCTAATGACTTACATATCTAGTAAATTAAAACATTATATATACAAATAAACAAACACAGGAACCATAATTGGCAATTCAACATGATAATATACAAGAACTAGTAGAAATATTAGTATCACATGTAGAATAACAATATCAAGAATTTGTTAACAAGAAATTGAAGATCCACTTTCTAACCTAAACTCGGATCTACCTGTAAATACCAGTTGTAGGCACAATTGGATATGCAGAAGCGTTTAGACCGTTGTGGTTTGGAATGTGACGGATCATCATGTTTCAAATTTACCTCTTGATGCCAGATCTCGTTTAGAATCTCCTTGTGTATGATTCTCATTCACGAATTGATCTCCTCAACATCGCAACACGAACAATCTCCTTGAGGCTATCTAGTGACAGATCTTCCAGACTATATCTCAAGGGGGAATAAGATTTGTGTGCGCATTATCTCACTTTCAGAGAGATGACCTTACCTCAGCAATAGTAATAACAGAACACCTTAAGCTGAAGGCTAAAAGAGAAGAATATATATGGGTTCCAAGAACCCTAGTGTGCTTGGGCTCCAGGCTTCTTGGGCTTTTCTTACACACTGAGCCCAATAGGGTTTTAAGTGAAAGAGCATAAACCCAACAATCTCTTACTTGCTCTTGAGTACAAACTTGAGCCTAAAGCCTAAGACCATGTAACTCACTAGTCATCATCAACTGAAAATGCCACTTTCCTTATCTTGAGCTAGCATGGGGTTCTACCAGCTATTATTAATCAAGGCTCTTGATAATCAATAAATGATTATCTGATTCGGTGCTACTCCACTAAAAGCCCGAACTTGAACTCCAAGATTAATAATACATATAACATGAATATGCATTGCCCCTTTGTAGAATGTCAATGATTTATTGATTAGTTTTCTATTACTCAATCAATTATTGATTCCGTTGACTATGATAGTTTCTCTAATGGATTATATGCACTGGCTAGTGTCTTCAATATCCAAGTACCAAAACATATCAATGGGACATATCCTATAAATTCTAAGTTGTGTATCTTATAAATACTGATAATCAAATAATTTCACTTTCGAAATATCGAGTTATTGGCAGTCAATAGATCAGGCATCACCTGTTGGTAAATCAAAGAATGAAAACTATTCAATTACGTATTTATAATAAACTCAGGATTAAGAGCAATTATATAACTATAGTTAACTGCAGATTTGATACCTTATGACAAAAAAACAACCTTAATCAAATCTCTCCTTAATCCTTTAAATGTGAATGCTAATTCAACCCAATATTTTACAATGTTTCGGACAAAACCATTTCATAAAATATTGCACTCTAAATAAAGCACCCAACTTTACTTAACAACTATGAACCAATTAATCAATCGTGAGAACCTATGATCATGTCCTCTATGAACGTATCCAAATGATCATATACTCCACAATTGATCTGGACCTTAATGTTTGTAAATTGTGTGAACAAAATAATGAACAATACCTCATTTGTAAAGTTCAAAAAATGATCACATTGTTTCATGTTCTTATTCCAAGAGCACAATGAACACAATATCTCTCACTCGCCTAATGCAAGTATGAGATCCTCTTAAGACCCAAGGAAGTAACATGCATTTCAAACACAAGTTCAGGCAAACTCTTAGTAATTGGGTCTGTAAGATCCACTTCTTAGTGTAAATCTCATAGCTCGATGTTGATTTTCTTGAGTCAATATCCACTTGAAAAATTGAATCTATAAACACTCATCTTTTCAAGACTCCTACCAGAATATACCAGCTTATAATATCTTATTCTCCAAAGATACTTATAAGTACATCCTTAACAACAATATAGTGTTCTTCTAGGATCATAATGGTATAGTCTCACTACTCCCACTGTGTGGCAGATGTCTAGTTTAATGCACAACTTGGTATTCATGAGATTACCTATTGCCAAAGCATAAAGTATCTTACTCGTGCATTATTCTTTCTCAAGAGTCTTTA